AATTTGTAGGTTTGCCCTTCATTTTTTCTAAGAAAATATGGTCTCCGTATCTATGTCGCTCATGCAAAAATGCCACGCCGTGGTCCCAATTATAATCTATTTGTTATTATTCTATGTTAGTATTCTATTTGTTACTCTTATTTATTACTATATCTAAAATAAGAGAAACTTATTTTTTGCTCGAAGCAGAGCTTAATATTTTTGTGAATTTATATACATGTCTGATTCTGCAAACAGCGCGCTAAAATTTGAAGCGCAATCATAAACAGAATCAAAATAGTAATATCACATAAAAAATATTAAATTAACAAGCAATCTAATAATTTTTTATGCTATATAATAAGCATATTTATAAGATATTAACCCCTTCAGACCTAATTTTTAGGACCATTTAAAAAATTTTTTTTTAATTTAATTCAAACGCACTTTAATAAATAATTTATACTAAACAATTTTTTTCAAAATTTTGATTATTTTTCAATATATACATTATTATGTACATTCTTAAAGGATGTCGATAGAATTAAATAATTTCAACGGATAATATCTTTAAATTTGATCTACATCACAATGTATGCAGAGTCCGAAGATGTTAATAATTTGATGTTAATGAGAATTTTAAACCTGTGAATAATTTATTGCGAAAAATATTGCTTCAACCGTATTTGAACTTGGTCCTTATTTATTACCCTTCATATCACGATCATGACGCGTTCCGAAGCGCGACACCTCTCTGCGAACAGTGCGATTTCATTTCGCTTTCGCGATTCAGCGCTCGCACCAAAACGACTGTCCCGTTTCCACCGAAGCATCTGTCTCATGCGACTCGCTCGTTCGCTCGTTTGAAACACGAAATCGACACGATGGAACATTGCCGCTTTCTCGCGACATTTAACGGGGTGGGTAATCGTTTTCTCAACGAGATTCAGTGTTATTCTGTATATGTCGCGGTCTGCGTCTCTCACTCCCGATATATTAGACTGAATGTAATTTGTCCTTCGTTTCCAGTTGGATTGGAGAGTAACACGCGAGTCATCGGATCGAATAGTTCATTTACGTGAATGAGATATATCGACCGTTTGTTCATAAAATATATATGTATATTAATATATTAGGTGTTGTCTACAATATACGAAGTAAGCTTGGTTTAAGAAGTAAGAGTAAGAAATTGACCAATCACAGTCGATTGTGAAAAGAATAATCGACTGTGATTGGTCAATTTCTTACTCTTACTTCTTAAACCAAGCTTACTTCGCATATTGTAGACAACTTATACTCTCGTGTGTGGATATATAGTACTGAATTGTATATTTTCGTATCGCGATTCATTGTTTAAGCTTCGTCATTAACTTCGTGTCGGACTTCAGAATAAACTGTCCCAAAGTTGTCGACGACGGATTTCCGAATTTGTCGAGTCATTGGCATCGCGGGAAAGAATCGACACCGAATTGAGCACCGCGGTGCGTTTGCTTGGTAAGTAGAATCGCAATGATTCGTAATTGACTTCGTGCTTTGATATCTATTTATTACATGGCGTGATTCGGCCGTTCCTAACATCGGCGATATGATACGAGATGCGTACTTGCAACGCTCGTTCAACAGAAATCTGAAGCTTTATTCTTAAAAAATATCGCATGCGAAAGTACTGACGAAATTTCCCAGACAGCACACAATATTTATAAAATATTTATAAAATGTTCATAAATATTTGTAAGATTTATTTTAAATATTTTGTAAATATATATATATTTTTGTGGTCTTTTAGATTACACACGGATAAACATTTATTATAAATATTATGAAATATTTATTGTAAATATGTTATAGCAAATGTTATGAAAATACTTAATGAGACATTATAATTCGACTAAAAGATACTTATTAGAAATATTTATTTATATCCATCATAAATATTACATAAAATATTTAGTCTATATTTTAATAATATTTCGAATAAAACTTTGTATAAAATATCGATATAACGTTTTAAAAAATGAATATTAATAAATATTTATCATAAATATTTTGTGCTGTCTGGATTATAGATAACGTATACTACAATATTTTCGTAATATTTTTCGAGAATATGGCTTCTATCGCGCGAGTGGTCAGCAAAGTGACGATCACACTTTCGAACATGTCGAATATCTTACCTTTGGCTTTAACATCTTTATTCACTTGCGTTGTTGTTTGTGTGTGTGAAAGAGAGAGTCGCTCTCTGAAATTAACGAATTATTTCTTACTCAAAGAGCGGGAAACGCAGGGAGTGTAATCAGAGAGCAACAAGTGTAGCACCGCCACCAACCGCCGCGCGACAGTAACGCTTGAAGTTGGTCGCGATGTTTTCGAAGCCGCCCCTTCCCCCTCCGCTGATTGGCCTAACGCGCTGCGCTGTTCAATGTTGTCTAATATGTGAGACGTTGCGGAGTACGGATAACGGGCGCTCAACCAAAAGCCTAACGAATCGTAGCGGCATAGCTCTGTGTATAATCAGTATGTATGTACATACCGTCGCGATTGTTCTCTCGCTTTGCTCTTCCGGTTTCCGTGACGCAAGAGATTAACCCGTCGCTTGTCGCGATCGCTACTGCAGTGCAAAGTACCGCGTGATCGTCGTCTAACGGGAATTAATGGCGATATCGTTAACTTTAATTTAGATTTGTTTTTATTCCTGTACTCTAGATTGCATTAGAAACTCCCTTTCTCGTCAAATACTCTCCTTTTTTTGTCAAATGTTAAACATCTATCTCACTTTAAGTTTCAAAAATGTGTACTAGTATATAGCTACAGAAAATAGATCTTTTGTTTTCGCGTGTGAATTGTATGTGTGTGTGCCATAAAGAAGCCACGATGAGATAAGGAAATGGCGGCCAGGAGTGGCATCGGGCGACGGCGGAGCAACTATAAGGTAAGTTATTCGATGGTTATTTATTGTTTTATTATCCGATGAATTAATCCGAGGAGGTAATTACTAGCTAAAATATTGTCCCACAGATTATATGATTTCGTTTATTTTCATATGATTTCAATCTGATTACGAATAATTTTTTTCACTACATACCTATGAAGTCATTTGGTAAAATATAGGTACGATTTTATTTAATTCTCGTGGTTGCATACGTAATTATCGGATTATGCAGAGATTTCATATGAATTTTATAATGATTTCGAGGATTCTATCCCACGATTACATTAAGTGGTTATTCGTGGTTATTCCCTCGAATTAATCGTTTGTTATCGTGCGTCATTAGATTCGCGTTACTTGAAATCCCCGAAAAATTGTGAATTTAATATATACGTGTCATTCGTGTTCTCAGCGGTTTTTTTTTCTTGAAATATTAGAAACATCTGGCTAAGTATTATGGGTTTACATTCTTTTTACAAAAAAAATTTTGTTTTGGCATCTACAAAACAATTTTTGTGCGTTGTCGGCTCCCGTTTTTGCATATCACTTTAGGACACGAAATATCCATCGTGTATAGTAAAGATGTCAAAAACTATCATGTATATTGTAATTAAGGGTTAAAATGAGATGGATATATGGTGTTTTTCAGCAAAAGACACGCAATGTAACACAGTGATTATTTTTGTTTTAACAGCAGTTTGTTTTAACAGTTATAATAAACAGCAAGTATATAATGATTTACTGTGTTACATCTGTGTTTCTTGCTGGAAACCATTCGCGAAAACACATAATATTCAAACATTTAAAAAAAGAGAACGCGGAAATTTTAAGTATAAAAAGTGCAAGCAACGCGAATAAATCTATTGTACACCAATGACTGCGTTCAGCAGAGAAAGCAGCTTTGCAATTGTTGTAAAATTCTTGAATATGATTGGTTTATACATTTAGATCCAATGAGGAACTAAGGACAAGACCAATCATATTAAAGAATTTTACAACAGTTGCAAAGCTGCTTTTTTTGCTGAACGCAGCCACTATATCGCGTAACTGCGCGAGAAAATTTTTAAAAATTATTTTTTATAAAAGATATTTAATACTTGTTATATATATAAAAGATATTTTTATCGTGTTTATGTTTAATTTAAATGATATTTAAATAAAACTTTATATTTTATGTAAAAATAGATTTTTACGTATCACTTTGTTAATAATGTCTACCGCAGGAAATATTTTTTCAATATTATTTTGAGCATTGCTCGTAACAATATTCGTTTTTTTTTTACAGATTAATATATTAACTCTGCTGCTGCGCATCGATCGGTAAGTCAAGTTTTCTTTTTATTTTATTTAAGGTAATGTATATTTGAGAAATGTATATATATGTATATATATTTATGTATATACAAGTTTAAAATGAAATTAAAATTAATTTTATCTTTTTAAAATGGATCTGATAAATCTATTATTTTAAATAAAATTCGATTTACGAAACGTGTAATTTTAATAAATTAAAAGTTGTAATAGTTTTAAAAAATTTAAGAAGGTATAAAATTAATTTGCCACCGAAAGTGGCGCGATTTAATTTTAAAATTTTAAAAACTTCCCTTTTTTGCTCGATTTATTAAACTCACATAATTTCTATTCTTATCTTACATACAATTTTAGAGGAGGAATAATAACAAATTAGAATAATGATAAATTAGTTTTCATTTTCCGATTGAAACGAAGATAAATGTAAATTTAATTATCAGGCGTTAAATTTAGATTTAACTCGTGATATTTACGATAAAATCTCCATAGTCAATTCCGTTGTAATGCGATATATTTCCACATGTTTATCACATTTCCATAATTTATAAACTAATAATTGTTAAATCATCGGCTACTTGTTACTGACAATTTTACTCACAATTTACTCATGATCGCAACAGCAACGTTATATTTACTCAGATTATAATGACATTATTGCGTATTCAAATGCACACATAATGTGCACTGTAAATTTAGGTATCCCTGATATCCGATATCATTACGTAACTGATAAATAGATACATATTAGCTCAATATTTTAAATTATCTTTAAATGATGTTTAGCTTATCTACGATACAATAATAATCGCACCGTTAAGTATAGCGATATTGTACAGAATAACAATAGCTGACTTAGAGAGATAATATAAACAGTAGGAGATGTACGATTGCTTATCTGTTGCTTATTTCTTACTTGCGATCTTCGGCTTAATTTGCCCCGAAATGGCGAATCCTGTATCGTTCCTAAATGAAATAATATATATCAGTGCCTAGAATTTCAGGATTAATACAAAATAATATTTCTTTAGTTACGTACACTGAGAGAAAAATGTATTAAATTTGAATAAATAATTGTTTGAATAGTACACTAATATAACATTTATTTATGGAAAATAAATATTTGCAAAATAAAAAATATAATAGTTATATCAAATTAATTTTTTGGTTCTTGCATCAAATAAATATATTTACATTTAGTAAATATTCAACTGGCACTATCCAAACAAATATTTATTAAAATTTAGTACATTTTCTCTCAATGTATTTAATATTTCTACAATTAAAACATTCCTTAACTATATATTCTAATCGTAAATGAAAAAAATATGATACTTTTTTATGTTAGAATAATTCTCTTTAGTTTGACTCCCAATATATTTCGTCTATAAAGAATAGGTCCTCTGGGACATCTATAAATTTATTTACGGGATCATTTTTCGGAAACACGTTACGTGGGAAGAATGAAAACGTCTAAATTATTATCGGAGAACGGTCGATATATCCTTTTCGGTAATATTAGTCGATCCATCATTCTTATGTCAAGCTCTTAGTGTTCAAAAAGAGATGAATAATCACTACGACATCGCTATGACAAGAGCTGGGCTGATCGTCCAAAAAAAGTAGCTATCTTTTTTTTTACATTTTAGTAAAGCAAGATTACTCGGCATTAATTACAATTTCGTCATTCTGAACATATCATTTGAGAATGAGTACGAAAACGTTGATCCACATTGACGGACCTTAACCTGGTTTCGTTCGGTTGATTAATGTGATCAACATGGTAGAAGATATACGCGATAATGAAAGATAACTTTGTTCCCTCCGTTCTCTAATCGCATAAACTGCAATGCAGACGTTTTATGTACCTATGGGCCAATAATTCAAAGTAAAATAATATAGATACACGATGACACTTAAAATTATCCCTTAATTAATACAAAAAACGCGATAAAATAAAAATAATTGTAAAATATTTTTTATACGAAAAATATGATAGCAAAAAATTTTCTGTTCTGATAGTCATATTTATTGAATATTATTTCCGTCTCTTCGTAAATTTTCTTTTTTCGGAACGTTAATTATTAAATTACATGCTTATCTAATAAAGCATAAAATTATATAAAAAATGTATAAAAATATGATTATAGAAATACGTATCAAAAGACTGGTCTACAAATATTAACGGCGAAAGAAAGATTTCTTCCTTTTGCCGACAAAAGTAATCTTGTTACACAAAAGTGCCTCCGGCATCTGAGACGCATTGTCAGAAACACCAATAAAGATAAATGAGTTTTCGTGCTTAAGGATTAACCGAGTGGTTGCGTGTCTCGTAACGATCGATGAAGCGGCAAATCTACAGATAACCGTCTCGTTTAAGTGTTCAATCGTAAATAAGTAGTAACGAACATGCATGGGCGGACAACGTGATGACAGTGGTATCGAACTTTGCATTTGAGATTTACAAACAGACTGTAAACAACAATACATACAGTATTGACGAATAAGGATTATCAAAATTTGTTAATGTTAAATCTTATACACTCTAAATTTTTGAGAATAAAATTTCATTCCTGAAGAGTGGTAGTTGCGCCAGTCCGACAGCAGGAGTGAAATTTTCACTCTTATGCCTGTGTTACACAGCATTAGAGACTGAGCTTTGCGAATGGAAGATTAGAATTCAGCCAATTAGAACGAAACGAATTAAAATTAAAATTACCTTATTGGTCGAATTCTAATCTTTAATTCACAATCCTCAATCTCCAATACGTAGTGTGACACACGGACATTAGAGAATGAAGGATCACTCCAAGCGAGAATTAATTTTCAATCTCTGCGGAGAATGAATAATTTCACTCTCCGACAAACTGAAATTTCACTCTGGTAAATGTTAAGTTTAGCCTCTCTACATCTTGACGAAATTAGACTCATATTTGACGTGTTTTTGCACAAAACAGACGAATCTGGCAGAAAAAGCTTCGCTCTGCCTCGCAAAGCGAGATACTAATCATCGTTAAAGTCAACGTTTTAGGAAATTCACTCCTTAAAGGAGTAAAATGATTCATTTTTGTCGGATTGTGGCGCAAATATCACTTTTTTGGAAGTGAAATTTCCCCAAATTTAGAATGCACAAGACTTGCTTATTTCTCATCAATATTGAATTTGAATATATGCAGAGTATTTGTGAACTAGTAGTACAATTGGGAAGAAAGTGCTTCTATATTTAAAAAATAAGTCGAAAACATTGAATAAAATTTCACGTAAATAAAATTTTTCACGTTAGAAAGCGTTCATAGAAATTTATTTTAAAGACCAGAATTGTGTATTCGACAGAATGAACAGCATTTTCAACAATTTAGAAAATAATAAAATTTATCTTGTGCGAATATCCTACTTTTGAGTATTTTCGATTACCAATACAATAATAAACACAAATATGAGCAGAGATAATAGTTCACGAGATTCATCAAATCGAGACATAGTTAAGCGCACTCGGCAAACATTTAAAATCGATTCTCTTGAAAACAAAACCTAATGCGTGAAAAAATTTTATTCTACGTTTCAATTTATTTTTTAATGTAAAATTATCCTCTTCTCGATTGTGCTGGTTCACGAGTACTCTATTTACTTAAACAGCCTATATTCACTTGAATGCACAAATAACACTCGCTGAATCATAATCACCGTTATTATTTGTGTTGAAATATTATTTAAAAAAATATCAATTTGAATAATACACATTTCCTATCGTAGTTTCTAAAGCATTAATTTTTTTGTTATCTTATTTCTTCCGAAATCTGTTTATCTTTTATGAAAAAGTTAAGCTCCAAATTCTCGTAAGATGAGGGCTGACTTACTGCAGAGAGACGGGTAACGATCGCTGAGGAGGGTTCCGAGCGGGCACAGGCCTGGTCGGCCGAGCGTGTAGAGCTGCTGGGATGCTGTGCGATCGACGGGTCCGTAATTACACACGAGTACTTCGACCTGATTCTCAAACCCGCTTGGCGCCACCGCGGTCTTGCTCAAGTCGAGCGTGTAAATCGCGCGGCCGCAACCTACGTAAATGAACGTCGCCGATGCGAGGGGAATGTAAGAGGAGAGTTGCCACGCCGTGTTAGAATAGTTCACTAGTCTGAAAGGTACGATTAACTGGACTAAATTAAGGTGGACGGTCGGTAGTCAGCTTCGGGCCTCAAGCCCTTTCCATTGATGCAACTTGAATTCGAATTAGGACGGATCTTTTCATAATTTGAGATGCTCTTGTAAGATTCGAGAGCATTCAAGAGATTAACTCACATCTTATAGATTTATCTTGAAAGTCGTGAATGCACATTATTAATATTAAATTTTACGAAGAAATGTAGAATTAATTGAGATTTTGTTTCAGTATGTATCATAATTCTAACATACAATATTGCCTTAAAAAATGTATTTGAAAGCTATCTTTTATTCCTAATATTTTTGAATAATTGATATTTTTGTATTTATACATTTCTCTTACCAATTCACTTAGCAAACATATTCGGATAAAATTTGACATAAAAAGTTGTATAAATATTAAAAAAAGCGATAGGCGTAATACGTTTTTGAACAGCTCCCTTTCGAGCACAATTTAAAAGATTAAAGTTCGAAGTCTGATTGTATCGCATTTTCATGTGTCCTGTAGGAAATTGAAACCTTTTTTTTCCTATCAGACCGAAATAATAAAAAAACGACAGAGGCTCGTTCATAGCTGCTGGGGGATCCGTGTATACTGGACTATCGAGTAATTTAGACCGGTACAATAGCACTCTCGATTTCCAATTTACCGAGAGAATACGCGATTTTGATTGTTCTCAGCGACAGAAGAAGAACCATCCACTATTCCTCTATTTTCACCCTCTGTTCCATACAATCGATCTTCGGTCATTTTCTCCGACGGTCAAGTCGCTTCATCCCTCTCTCTTCCTCTTCCTCCAATGCCTGATAAACCTCTCGCAGTACCGGCTTTAAAGGGTGATCGAAACGAACTGTTGCTCAGAGCGCTAAGAAGAGCAGGTAGCACAAGACACGTGCGTGGGCGCGCGACAGCATTAACATAACCCTCTTTGAAGTAAATTATTATTTTCAAAACTATATAGACTAACTTTCTAAATTCTTTGAAGTGGAATCTCACTCTAAAAAATGAGATTCCTTTTTCAAGACTGGCAGAATTTTCACTTTTTGAAGTGAAATTTCTCTTCAAAGAATTTAGAGAGAAATTGCAGGCTAACTTATCGTTTTTTTTCCAGTAAATATAAAAATAAAATTATAAACATAAAATATTTTTAATATTTTACAACTATTTCGGCAGTTTATTACATTTATTACGAATTTTATATTCATCTCGCTATTGAAATAAAACGCTACACAAACAAATATTTTATAAATTCTATTACACATTCAAGAGATTTTTATATTAAAAATTAAATAAAAAGTACAGATATATATTCGAAACTTTGTCAGTTTATTCTATTTTTTAAATTTTATTCGATTCATGAAGGAATTATAAAAAGGGAGCGCGAAAGTTTTCCGTTTGGTGGAACCGAGATTTTTAAAATCAGCACTGACTCCCACGAGGGTACTCGCGATCGCGAGCGAAAGCAGAAACGAGGATGGATATATGGGATGAAATAGATGCTCGCGGAAAGGCAGGAGGGAGACGAAGGAAAGCGAAGAACAGAGTGGTGGCTGCAAACCTTCCCCCAAAATTCGGAAGACCGAGTTAGCTGTGTCTACACGCCGGGTCGAACATCGGCCATTCACAAAGGGATAGTAGAGTCTCTCGGCACAAAGGAATCGTTCCGATCAACTCGACTCGAGCCATTGTACCTTTCTCTCGACAGCATCGCGATTCATGCACGCGTTACTATCGACCTAGATACACATAAGGGAAGCATGCATGTGTTCGCGACGATCCTTGACGTGTAATTTGCGTATACAGTATATCCCATAGATAACCAGTTATTTTCCATTTATGGAGTCTTTAACTATCATAGAATCAATTTTTTTTTAACAATAACGTCCTGATAATTAATTTTTAAATTACAAATGATTGAAAACAGCGCATTTTTTGAAAACTCAAATGTTTGAACAGATAATGGAAATGTTTTTAATTTGATTTTAAATAAATTTTATTTTAATAAAAAAATTTTAAAGTTGCCAACAGTCAATAAGTGAAAAAAAGATTTGTTATTGAAAATTGAAAATTTGTGGCGAATAATAAATGCTCTTCCATCAATTCGCCAAAAATAAATTGGTCAAACAATCCATATAAATGACAGGTGTCTCGCTAGATATGGAACATCCTGTATTTTCTATGTATATAACTATGCGCACTTTCGACTTTTACCCGACTTTCGCGTTGTCGAAGTCTTCCACCTCGTCGTACCACGATGTAATATGAAAGTGAATTCTTTCCCT